ATAGTTTTCTCCAAGTTAACCTTAACAGTGTATGAGGCATGGAAAGTTTTGCAATCAACCTTGAAAGGACGGAGGATTCCATGAGGTACTGTCTCAGGGATGAAGAGGTCCTTGTTCTGGACTTAGTTATTGGCTATGTTGGACCCTGACAGAGAGAGATCAGTGGTTGCAGGACTTGGGCTTCACCCGCACACCCTCAGCTTCCTAGAGATTCACATGTTGTTAGCTGTCAGCAACGTGTAAGTTATCCCCACACTTTGCCTGCTCCTTAGACATACGGTGCCAATACCAGTGTGCCCACCACACAGACTGATTGGTGTGCCCATTCTCACCATGAAAACAGAAAAAAGCTTTCTGGGGCCCTCCCTGGTGGTGCAGTGGGTTAGGACACAGCCCTGCACGCTGGCGGAAGGCCACTTCAGTGCGAGTTCGATCCCGGGCCCCAGAGGTGACCCACATGATGCAGCAGACCTCTCCTGACCCACCTGCTGCTCCCCTCAGCAGTATGCTTCAGTATATCTGTCTGTCCTGCTCCCCACCCTGTCTCTGGTGAATCCTCTCACTGCCCCTACACCTCTGGCCTGCACCCCAGTTTTGTATGCACAAATAGATAAATAAATCTTAAGGGGGAAAAAAAGCTTTCTATCCCTCCTCTTCATGTACTGGTGAGAAAGGCAGACTTTCTTTGTATTCAGATTTTTTAGCTGAATAAACTCTGCCATGGCAATTCTCAGAAATAATAGGAAAACAATGCAAGGAAAATTACAGTGGAAAAGTTAAAAATTATAGTGCCAGGCACAGCACTGGCAAGTCCAGAAGTTCCACAGAAGGGACTGTGGAAAGACTTTGGGGTTTTGGGAATTTTTCCTCAAGGCAGTAAAAAGCTATTGATGGTTTTTAACTAAAGATGCAATGTGATCAAGGACCATTTAAAGAAACGAAAGATTGCTTTGCAAAATAAGTCACTTGCAAAGGAAAAATCAATAGGAACTGATCACTGGGTGTCAAATATCATTTTTCTTTCTTTAATTCTCTTTAAAGAAGGGTTTTACCCTAGTTGAATTTTATAATCCAACAAAATCAAGGTTAATATCAAAACTATTTATGCACAGGTACTTTTTTTTTAATAACATAATAGTTTATTTTTACATCATTTTGTGCCTTTTTCCATCCCAGTTGTAATCCCCATGGGCTTCCCATCACCAGGTCACCCGTGTGGCATCACCATAGTCCATGCACGGGTACTTTTATAACAATTCTTCTCCACTGATAGCCAGCATGCAAGTTCACAATGCCCTTCTCTAACTAATTAGGAAATTTGTTTTCCAGAGCATGTGACTTGCTTGAGATCATTGAAAAGATGAATCGCAACACAGGAAGCAGAGAATAGTTTGATTTGACCTGCTGCATCAACTTATTGCATGTGACATCACCCAATAGCACCCCAGTCAGGAGACCCAATCCAGAGCAGAATTTTGGGCGACTTAAAGAAACACATAAGGAAGAAGCAGAGCAGGGCTAAGTGCCGATTTCCTTGCCAAGGTCCCACTGAAGCGGTCTGGGCTCCCCCAGATCGCTGTGGCTTCAGCCAAGGTTTCCTTTTGCCACCAATCACTGTCCACTTTGGAAAGAATGGAAGAGGCTCTTATTGCTTTATCCAAGTATTACTGGGAACAAACCATTTTAGAACTTTTAAATAATTTCTCACCTAAGGTTAATTGTAGGGGTGCAACACCCCTCCTCCCCAGCTTCCTGCTTAGGCATCTGATAAATACCTATCTGCTCCCTGCAGGCTTAAGATGACAATGTGAGAGCTGCCTTCTTTTTGACTGTCTCTCTTAAGAAAGTCTTATTTCTTAATTTATTGAGATTAAACCCAGACAAGGGAGAAGGAGATGTGAAGATGAAACCAAACAACAAAAGATAGAGATGGAAAACTTAAGCTGTAAGCCTTGGGTGGTTCAAAAGCATCCAGGAGAAGTGCAAAGATACCTCATTTCATTTGGACAAGTGGACAGATGGGAGATTCCTGGATGGTTGCAAGAAAACAGATGACTTCCCAAATAACTGGAGAATGCTGGAAAGAAATAAACCAGGTTTCCTCATTCTCCAGGAAGAGCTGCCAGCAGGATGCAAATGGCTGCTTCCTCCTGCTTGGATTTAGCACTTACACTTTCCAGTGACTTGGCACGTTGACTCTGAAATTATTTAATAACTCACTCTTTCCAGTGTAATATTTTATACAAATTTAACAAATATGTGACCTTTCCCCACACTTTACCATTGCATCCTCTCTTCCCAAAGTGCATTGCATTTTTTTATTTCACTTTCCCCCTCATGGCAAGAGTTGCTAGAAATTGCTAGAAAAATCTAGCAATTTTGCTAATCCAGTTGGATGAGCACAAAGCAGATATTACTGAAGATTCTTCTCAGTCCTTCTAAAAACAAAACCAACCAACCAACAAAGAAAAATGCCCCTTCAAGGAAGGATAAGGAGAACTAATTATCAGAAGGCAAAATATTCCCATGTAGGGTCTGCCTAGTGGCTCAGGGTTTAAGTCTCAGCACAATCAAGCTATCAGCAGCCACTGCAGCATGAGTCAAACCCCAGCCAGGACACAGCAGACCTCTCCTGCCTCTCCCACGGCTCCCCTCAGCAGTGTATTTCAATATTCAGTAGACCTGCACCCCAGTCTATCTTTGGTGAATCTTCTCGTCTCCAGCACCTCTGGCCTACACCCCAGTTCTTGTATGCATAAATAATAAAAATAAATCTAAAACAAATTTCCATGTAACCTTTTTGCCCTTATCTTTTAATAACAATTCTTTGATGGAAAATCCTACTGCCTGTACTGTGTGTAACCTGAAGTCTGTGAGCAGGGTTGATTACTATCTAAAGTCATGCAGTAGACTAGAGATAGCTCCATCTATTCAACTCCAGATTTGGGGTTGTCTGCCACGAGATTCAAAATCTTAGGGTGCCATACTTACAACCAAATGGAATCCTGGTTTATAGAGCTGTCACCGCCGATTTGAAATAAATAAAAGCCAAGTAAGAATGCTTTCATGTTCTGTACATCTAAGGGTGAGAAGCATTTGGGGATGGGGAAGTGATTTGTGGCAGGGAGAAAAGCTGAACACATTCAGTTACACCCAGGGATCAAGCAATTAACTAACTTAAGGGGAGACTACATTGGCATCTTCTGCTCCAAAATTGCCTTTAAAAAAATAAAATACCCCGAGACTCAAAATAGTAAGGACAGGCTTGGGTATCAGGGTTTGAAAGAATGAAAGATAAAAAGAAAATAACTTTTTGTTGGCGGGCTAGGAATTTGTGGTGGGGAGGAGGAAACCACAAAACTGTTTTCAGCACAGTGTTCCACTTCTTAATGTAGACCACAAATGGTTTTAGCCTGTGATCAAACTCAGCCCCTGGCTTCCCAGGAGAAGGACTTCCATGCTGGCCCAGCCCTCAATGGCAAAGATGGCCGGGGAGGGGTGTTTAAAAAAAGAGAAGGGGTTCTAACTTCAGTTCTCTCTCCAGTCTGAATGAAACACAACTCTGCTCCATTCAGGTATGGAACGGTTAAAAAACAAAAAGCATGTGTTTGGCTACAGCTGGAAGCCATTAACACAGCTCAGTAACCCAGGGAGCGGGTGGGTGGCCTGGCCTGGGTCCTGAATCTGCGTGTGTAATCACAGACTCCCAGTGCTGGGCGGGGCTCGATGGCTCCCTCCCACTCCCTATAAAACTCTCCTCGGCAACAGTTCAGTTTCTGCTTGCACACTTCCAGCCCCTTTGAGGCTCAGAAGTCAGCCTGTCACTTCTAAGGCAACTTCAATTACTAGAACATTCTTTCAGGCACCATTTGCCTCTCACAAAGTCTCCTGTTCAGTTCCCGCTCAGCTCTCTGATACCTTAGCGGACAACAGCCCTATGCGGAAAGAGCTATCGTCTGTCTCCGCATCCTCACCTCAGAGGGTCGGACAGCCCATTTCTGGCAGCCTTTGCTCCCTGGAGATCTGCTAGGCTCCAGCCCCTCCTGAGCTTCCTACTCTTCAGCCATGTTCACATTTCTGCCTCCCTTCTGAAGGACGGGGTGCAGCAGGGAGCACCTTCCCAACCCAAAGGGCGCCAGTACGGTGTTATCCATGAGACCTTTTCTCTTGAAAGTTTTGAGGGAAATTTTCCAGGCAGATTAATCACAACACCGCCTTCTAGGTATGGTGATGAGAGAGCCTACTTCAGCACATCTCTGGGCAGGATGTGCTGCAAGGTGCCAGTCTCACCATGGAGTAACAACGCTGAAGAGGAGGGAGGGAAGAGAGGATGAGCATCCCCTGGATGCTCAGCAAGGGGTTCCCAGTTTCCCACCACAAAAAATCCTTGCCTCTTGAGACTGGATCCAGCACAAGAAGATACTCTTTAACTGATCTATGCAACTTGTCCAAAAGCCTTCCTTCACGTTCCATGTCCCAACAGAACATAAGCTCTCAGACCTCCTTCCCCTGGCCCAGGCTTCCGAGTCCCAGACTCCCTCCAGGCCCCATCGCCAGGCCCCGACTACAGCCTGCACCCTTGTCCTGACCCCAAGGCTCATGCTCCCTCACCTTCCCTTCCTAGAACATCTCTTCTTCTAAGGTTGTCTAAGCTAACTTAGAGCTTCCGAACAGCCAACATTCTCCCACATGGACACATGGGGACATTTCTGGCCACTAGAGGAAGTCTTTCCCCAGATTTCTCTTCTTCCATTAATTGACTGTCCAAGCAAGCCCAGATATAGTCTCTGATTTTTGCACTCTACATGTTGAATGCAATGGATGGGCATTGCTTTTCCTTTGGTCTGAGGAATGTCCCTGTCACTTCTTTGTCCTCATTATGTGAAGGGAACCAGCCCAGACACTGGCTTTTAGAGAGCAAGCAAATGAACACTTAAGAGTCATCGCCTATACAAGCTGGTAGCACCAGGTGTAATTTTGACCTCTCTTTGCATTCCCAGCTGTGCCGCAGATCAATTGTGATGTCAAAGCTGGAAAGATCATCAATCCCGAGTTTGTTGTGAAATGTCCAGCTGGATGCCAAGACCCCAAATACCACGTTTATGGCACTAATGTCTACGCGTCCTACTCCAGCGTGTGTGGCGCCGCGGTCCACAGGTGGGTAGGTCTTCGCTACTTAATGCTCAGCAAGCAGGGTGTGGGCAGGGAGCCCCTGGTACAATGTTAACTTGTGTAGCAAGCAAAACTGTACAGATTGAGCTGTATTTCACTCAGCTTTACTACCCCAAGTGATAATGCAGCCCTCTGTGTTCTGAATTCTCTGGAGAGTTACTCTTTCATGTTCATGGAAACCACAGCTCCTGGTGACATAAAGCCTTGTGTTCCTACTCTATCACTGAGCAAGGAAATAATAAGATTGGATTAAGAAAGGGACAGATGGGCCCTCCCTGGTGGCGCAGCGGGTTAAAGCACTGCACTAAGAAGCTTAAGCTACTTGCACATGAGTTCGATCCCCGCCTGCCCCGGAGGAGATCCACATGTTGGCAGACCTCTCCTGTCCCGCCCGCTGCTCCCCTCAGCAGTGTACTTCGTCGATCGGCCTGTTCTGCTCCCCATTCTGTCTCTGGTGAAGCCTCTCACCCTCGGCATCTCTGGCCTGTACCCCAACTCTGTATGAATAAATAAATAAATCTTTAAAAAAAAAAAAAAAGGTACAGACATTTGCAGAAGAAATCTCACAGCTATTCTGACGGCCTGGAGACCAACGCAAACAGGAAAAAGGAGTAGAGGTGGTACTGCTTGGTCAGCTGATTTGGGAGCCAGGAAAGAAGTCAGGAGAAAAATGCTGTTTCTTAAGTCTGTACTATGAAATAAAGATATTTTGCTTTCACCCAGAAGTCAACTTCAACAAAAGGAAATACACAAATTACACACGTCAGTGCACAAATATACATGTGTACATCCTGCAAAATTGCTTGCTCGCGTACATGCTTGGCTGCACGTAGCTCATGCTTGCACACACGCACGCACACACACCTCCTGCTTGTTCCTGAACATGCATACTCATGCTCACACACATCCTTACACATACATGTGCAGCCTCTACAACACACCACCACCATCCACTGTCTCCTGTCCATGCCTGCATAGACACTAGCGTTTGTGGCAGAAGCTGACGGGTCTGAAGGCTGCCCGTGTTTTCCTGTCTGTGATCTGAGATGCTTGGGCCTGCTGACTGTCTCTCGCCTTTCCTATGCAGTACAGAACCAAATGAACTATTCTGAATCTCCGCAGATGTCAACAGTAGTCCTATCTACTCGCACTGTGATTCTCTCTTTCTAGCATCATGTAACCCTAATGATGCTGCTATAGCATCATAGGAAGAAAGCAGAGGTACAGGAGTTAAGAAACTGAGGCGTAGCTAGTTCATTAAAATGCTCGTCGATGCTTGCTCAGGATCAGCACTTGTGTGCTGACTTCTAGCCCACTGCCCAGGTGACACTTTCACTTAAGAAATGGTGGGGGTGGGGAAGGTCCAGCTCTGCTTAGGGTGCAAAGTGCAGAGTGGGGTGGGGGGTGGGTATGCTTTGGAGCAGTTAGCACTGGGGACGGCTGTAAGATGGGCAGACAGCACCGGAAAGAAACTCAGAAGGGCAAGGACAGCAAGCCCAGTGTGGGCTGGAGTGTAAGAACTTGCTGGGAAGAACATAAGTGGAGAAAGAGGGACAGGGAAGAGCTTAAATGTTTCCAAAAACCAGATTTGTTACTTGAGTCGCTGAGTGCCGTTGTAGCCTCCTGGCCCAGTGGCTGCTATGTGGGAAAGTCTATTCGGAAAAAAGTGTTATCCATGGGGAGGATGAATCGAGGTCTTCAGGAGTTTGGGTACTGTCAGTTTCATTTTACACAGTCTGTTTTCCGAAGGCAAAATTTAAGACAGACAGGAACCGAAAGTGCTCAAGGGACTGCCGGTCCCTATCCACCAGAGTCCTGCACAAACTCGGGAGCCTGGAGAGACCAGCTTTGGCTTAGAAATTCATAGTTAGCATGAAAGATTTAATATTCATATAATAGATCATGCTCAGATGTTGTTTTTTTATGAGTGAATCCCTTGATTCTTTTAAACCAAAGGGACCGTGGACATATTTGAGATTGGAGGCATCATGTTTTGGCTTTGTTCTTGTCCTAAACTAACCTCTGTACTTAAAATGCGACCAAGCACTGGGCAAAGGGGTGACTTCTCTGTGCGGGACCACCTCCCTGGAGTCTGCTTCATGCTGGTTTTTGCCCAGATGCCCACCATGAGAATGGCAGCCAGCCCAAATGGCCTCGTGCTGGGCTGGCTGCCATTCTCTCCGGCCCTTCTCTCTGGCCAAGAAGCTGACCTTAGCTGATCCCAGTCCCCTGGTTCAGGCTTGGGAAGAAGAGGAGCCACAAGGCCACATTCAGCTTCATCTAGAGCACTGAGGAAGCAAAACAGTTGAGCTGGTTTTGCGCTAAGAAATATACATCAAGTGCCTACCCTTGAGTGGGGGTACAAACGATGGCACATTTTACAAAAATTCTCTAAATTATCTGTAGCCCTGAACCCCCATTGCCAAATAAGTGAAGCCACAACCTATCTCAGGCTCTGTCCCACCTTTGGACTCCACCTCCGTGAGCTACTGTCACCTCCTGTCGTCTACAGAACACACACCTGCCAGGATCTGTCCTTCCCTAGGAATGTCTAGGAATATCCAAGATCTCCAGCTATGCCACCAACAAGAGGTGGCTTTACCCTTGTCTCTCACTAGGTCTCTCTGGTCCGGCTTGAGAGCCTCCGGCCCTCCTGTACCCCTTAAGGAGCCTGACAAAAGCTGCAGTGTTTGACTCTCACACTGGAGCAGGGCCGTGCACATTTCCTCAATGCAGTGGAATTCAAACCCAAGGCAGAACAATTTCTGAGGGAAAAGAACATGAGAAGAGTTGTGTCTATTCTCCCCCATTAATTATAAATAAAGGCACCAGAGGATTAAATTTTTGTAGTAATTAGAATTTTTGGCCTATAGCAGTAGTATGTTAGAGTTTAACACCTGCTCTACAAACGGGCAGACATGGGGAGAGGTGACTTGCTATTTCCTGTGGTGTAAATACTCACTGGGCTGATTTCACATCCCCACTGTGAAATGAACTCACACAATCCTGAAAGCTTAACAAATGGCTCCTGAAAATCAGTGTAAGTTGTGCTCTGACACCACTGATAGACCCTCCAGTACAAAAGCGTGACTTAGCATCCTTTCCCATAAGAAGAATTTCCAGTCTAGTTGGGAGGTAAAATTAACTCAAAAAAAAAAAAAGGAACTAGAAAAGATCAATTAAAACCACTCCCCCAAAAGTAGCTATAAAGGACTGATCACAAAAATATACGGAGAACTGATGAACTCAACAAAAATAAACAACCCCATCAAAAAATGGGCAGTAGAGCTAAAAAGACACTTCTCCAAAGAGGAAATGCAGATGGCCAACAGGCATATGAAAAAATGTTCAACATCACTCGTAATAAGGGAGATGCAAATTAAAACCACCATGAGATACCACCTCACCCCAGTGAGAATGGCACATCTTCAAACAACTAGCAACAACAAATGTTGGCGAGGATGTGGAGAAAAAGGAACTCTCCTGCACTGCTGGTGGGAATGCAAACTAGTACAACCACTATGGAAAACTGTTTGGAGGTTCCTCAAACTGCTAAACATGGAGCTTCCCTACGACCCAGCAATCCCACTCCTAGGTATCTACCCAAAAGACACAAAAACACTGATTGAAAAAGATACTTGTACCCCCATGTTTATTGCTGCTTTATTTACAATTGGAAAAACATGGAAGCAGCCCAAATGCCCAAAAGTAGATGACTGGATTAGAAAGATGTGGTACATATATACAATGGAATATTACTCAGCAACCAAAAAAGAGAAACACATGTCTTTTGCAGCAACTTGGATGGAGCTGGAAAAGATCATGCTTAGTGAGATAAGCCAGAAAGAGAAAGAAAAATACCGGATGGTTCCACTCATAGCAGGAGTATAATGGACCAGGCGAGAAAATAACAAAAATAATGAACAACCATATACCAGAGACATTCTGTGGGGGTGGAGTGGGAAATGGGATCAAAAATGGGGGGGGGGGAAGAGAGGGAAATGCACGGGACTATGGTGGTGGCACAGGGGTGATTTGGTGATGGGAAACCCGCGGGGATTACAATCGAGATGGAAAAAAAAATGTGCAAAATGATGTAAAAATAAACTTTGTAATAAATAAAACAAAAAAAAATTAGGAATCAATAGAAAATTCTGTAGTTAAAGAAAATAAATAATTTCAAAAATGCCCATTTTCTTTCATCCAAGAGGATAAAAGTCTCAAAAACTAAAGTATTTAAATTTAAAAAAATTGAAAAATGTATAGCATCCATGAAATCACTTAATTTTTTACCAAGCCAATATTACAAATAGTAAATATGATATTACTGGTTTTAGTAGTATTAAAATGGAGAATCTAGATTTCTCTGATAAACTTAACAATAAAGCCTGAAAAAAAAAAACACTCCCCCATTGTGATATAAGATTCTAAGACATTAGAAGGGTCGGGAAGGGGTGTGGTGTGCTGTTCAGCATCTCTGTGGAAAAGGCAGCCTTAGGAACTGAGCAAAGCCTAGTTGAGCAGAAGGAGAAGGACTGTAGACTCCCCAGAGGGACAAAGCAATAGGAGAAGAACTGGGTGGGCAGGAAACTCTCTGTCAGGGGAGCTGAGAGCTTGAGAGCTGCAGCTACAAGTGAGGTGACCCAATGATGAGAGGTCTGGAAGAAGAGGAGGTCAGCTCCCAAAGGATGAGCAAGCAAGGAGGAGCTGGTGTTATGAGGTACCTGTGTTCTGAATCCCAGTGGCTTATGGGACCAAATGGGACAAACCCAAGACTCGTGGGTTCACATTCCTGCCTTGCAACTTATTCGTTACAAAATCGGACGTCACTCAACCTGTCTAAGCCTGTTTGTATGAAATGGGACTATCAGCACCCTCCCCTCCACAACTCAGCCAAGCTTGGAGGACCAGTGAGATTCTGTAGGTGGGAATGATTTTAACGCAATTAAGTGCTTTACATGTCAGGCATTATTATCAATTTCTTTCCTTGTGGGTCATTGGGAAGTGGAGTGTTGAAAGATGTTGACTTGCCACAAAGGCAGGAAATAGCAACTTTCATTCCTACAGGGAAGGAAAGGTGTTGATCAGAACAAGTCTAAGTACTTTTTCTAGCTCCCCCATATCATAAATCACACTACCCAAAGGAGACATTGCTCGGCTCTGGGGTAAGCAAACCGACAAGGTGAAAGGGAGGTGGAGAGTAGAATGGGCCCCTGTCTCAAGTGCATGGAAGGAAAGAAGTGGTTATGTCAGTTCTGTCTCACCAGGTCTCATTCCTAGAAATTAAAGGAATGATTTCCAGTCCTTGGGAATGCTTTTTTAATTAATTTAGCTGCGTATCTTCCTTCTCTTGCTCCCCCTAAAAAAGTATAATTTCCTTTGGAAAATTCCATATCACCTTTTGAAATAATTGAAGTCATTCTACGATGTTAGAAACCTATTTGGAATTGTCAGGAAAGAGGCTTTACCTAAAATAACTAATAAGGATGAGGAAACCCAGGAAATGAAATTGCAACCATGGAGGTAAAGAGAAACTTCTGGACTCTGACAGAGAAAAACAATCTAGCCAGTAATAAGAAAAAGAACAGGAAGAGAGAGGGGTCAAAACTGGGGTGGGAAGAGCACCAGGAGCTGTGGTGATGGGTCATGGGTAGGGTGGTGGTGGGAGAACCATGGAGCTACACAACAGGGAGAGATCAAACACTGTACAAAATATAAACGGTGGTGTTAAAGATAATAAACTGAGAGAAAATTATTAATTAACTAACTTAAAATAGGAAGAAAAAGAAGGACATTCTTCCTGGGGTATCAGATGCCATAGAGGCGCCATTTTGGGGGGCTGAAGGGTTGAGGATAAGATTAAGGTAAACCTTTTTTATATATTTATTTCACATCATTCCTCATTTTTCCATCTCAATTGCAATCCCCATGGGCTTCCCACCACCGATTCACCCGTGTGCCATCACCACAGTCCAGTGCACTCCTCCACCCCAGTTCTGATTCCATTCCCCTTCCCGCCCCCATACAATATCTCTGGAAGGTAAACCTTTTTTAACCTCACTGCTCTCTAAACAAAGGTGCAGGCTGGTGATGTAATCTTCTGATCACTTCAAACATGATTTTTTTCCTTCAAACAGTATTTTTTCCTCTCTTGTAGTGGTGTGCTCAGTAATTCTGGAGGAAAAATACTTGTTCAGAAAGTTGCTGGACAGTCTGGCTACAAAGGAAGTTATTCCAATGGAGTCCAGTCGCTGTCCCTGCCACGGTGGAGAGAATCTTTCGTGGTCTCAGGTACGTCCACCCTTAAGGGAAATGCTTTTGTTCCCGGGGCACTTGTGCTAAGTGACCTCTTTGGGTGAACTGTGCTCTTTTCGATGTGCTGTTAGTTTTGTTTTGTGGCCTAACTCATTTCAAAAATTCAGAAGCTTTCATTCTTTTGATAATTAGGGTTATGGAACAATGAGTAATAATTACAGTGAAAAATTGCTACAAAGTCTGCAAATATTAAATGGCTCCAATTGCTCATTTTAAACACTGCAGTAATCTGTAAGTCCAATAACACTTTCACATAAGTGAGTTACATTCCAGGCCTTCCTGGTGGTGCAGGGTTTAAAGACAGCATCATCAAACTATCCGCAGATACTGCAGCAGTTCTATCCCTGGCCTGGCAGCTGACCCACAGGGCCCAGCAGACCTCTCCTGACCCGCCTGCTGCTCCCCTCTGCAGTGAATTTCAGTAGATCTGCCTGTTCTGCTCCCCACTCCGTCTCTGGTGAATCCTCACAACACCTGTACTCTGGCCTATACCCCAATTCTTTTATGCATAAGTAAATAAATATTTTTTAAAAGTGAACTATATTTAATAATTTAGGTTTTGGATGACTCCTTCAGTCAAGCCAAATGGGCTTGCTAACCTATTCCTTGAGATCTCTGAGAGAGGTAGGTAGTGATGTAGACTCTTAGCCACAATTTTATTTGAAATTTATTTTTATTTAATATATTGTTTCCTCAGTCAGTTTGCTCTTACTGTCCAGCTCCATAGGTATTTTTGTAGATAATCATTTTCACTTTTTCCCTCTTCCTCAAAAGAATAATGTCACAGTATGCAGACAACCCAGTAGTCTTTACTGTCATGCTCCGCTCTCTCCTTTTTCTCAATTTTTGTGATTTTCCCTAATTTCTTATTTTGAAATTTTTAAATTCACAAAAAAATTGAAAGAATACCTCTACCTAGAGTTATTCCAATCCCCTCTACCTAGATTTAGCCATTGTCATTATTTTGCTATATTTGCTTTTTCATCTCTCTCTGCTTTTTTTTGAAACATGTGAAAATCAACCATTGTCATCATGTCACTGTCCCTTCAGCGCACATCCTGCAAGAACAAAAACATCTTCCTAAATAGGCACAATGCCAATACCAATACCACACCCCCAACATTAACACTGAATAATATCAATGTTGACATATTATTAATTAGCTAGAAAACTACTTAGTATATAATATTATCTAATAAATAGTTCTTATTCAGTTTAAACCAATCATCCTAAAATATTCTTTATAATAATTTCATCTGTTTATCCACAATCCAATCAAAAGCATTCATTGCACTGACTGCCATGACTATTTAGTTTTCTTTAACCGTCTGCCCCACCCCCACCCCCACCCACTACCTGTTTTGTTCCTGAACGGCAGTGACATTTCTGAATTCCCAATTGTTTAGTGCTATGTCTACAACCAATCCTCATGATTGGATCCAGGTTACGTATTTTAGCGAGAACACTACATAGGTAGAATCATAGCATATCATCACGACACATCACAATAGCCAACTCAGGAAGCACAAATATCAATGGCTCCACTTATTGGTGATGTTAAATTTGATTAACATCAAAACATTGGATACTTTGCAATCTCCCTCCATGATAAAGATTCCTTATAATCAATAAGAAATCTGCAAAACAGTGTGAAAGACTTGTTCATCCAGTGGTTTGAATATTCATTGATATTTTTGTAGCAAAAATTGCATTAATGGGACCTCCCTGGTGGCGCAGCGGGTTAAAGCACAGCACTCAGACGCTAAAGCTACTTCAGCATGAGTTTGATCCCTGCCTGCCCTGGAGGTGTCCACATGGCGTGGCAGACCTCTCCTGACCTGCCTGCTGCTCCCCTCAGCAGTGTACTTCATCAGTCGGCCTGCTCTGCTCCCCGCTCTGTCTCTGGTGAATCCTCTCACCGCCCCTGCACCTCTAGTCTGTTCCCCAGTTCTGTATGCATAAATAAAATAAATCTCTAAAAAAAGAATTGCATTAGTAATTGTAAATTATAATTGTTCCAATTCTTCCATTCCTTCTAGTAGTCTTCAAGAGAAGGATTCCTTTCTCTTTCCCACACCAATTTTTTATGGACCTCTATCTACTCACAAACTGATTTTAAAAATACTGTATGTTATAATATATCCTCATCATTACTCTTTTTAGTGCTGAAATTTCCCAAGTTTGACCAATGGGACCCCTTCCAGCTTTTGACATGTGCTCAGTGTATTGAGCATTACACCATGTTCCCTCCCCACCTTGTACTTACCCTGCTCCAGATCTCAAATCTCTCATTTTATCTAAAGAGGCTCCATGGGATTTTAAACTAGATTCTAGTAAACTTTTCCTGGCATCCCGTCAAGATCAGGAGCCATGCAACTCTCCTGAGAAGGTGCCACCTCTGGAACCAAGAAAGGCAAGGAAGCGAGTTCTCGTAACCTAGGAGGCCTCCACCTGGGTGATGTTTTGGCACCTGGAAGCTCTAACCCTATGTCACCCCTTGATTCTTGATAGTAAGAATACAAACAGATGTCTTAGGTCCTTCCAAACTTGAGAGCCATCCCTGTTTCCTCCGCCTGCAAAGTTCCACACACTTAGGGTTCAATTTAGACCAGTTTCCAAGTCAGATAGTGGGAGGCCCCTAACCACAGGACTGAAAGTTTTGTCTTTAACAAAGAATACAGAACAGGGACCGTGTGAAAATCCTAATGGTTAGGATACACAGCTGTCAAGCACAGAGAGCATACAACCTCCGCTTAGGTCTCTACGGAGAGATTTTCAATCTGAAGTACTTAGTCTACAGTACTCCCAATGGAGGTTTAAAAGAAAACTTAAGTCCATGGGAGGAGGGATGATTTTTTTTTTAATGAAAATCAATCTGCTGAGATGATTCCCTATAAATCTCAACTTTCACATCCCCTTATTCCACCTAGAAACGCTCCACCAACAACCATAAACAGCGGTGTCTCTTTCGGGGCGAGCAGCTAAGGTAGCCCACTGCGCCATGAGGCCGCCCCCAGTAGCCCCTTATTCAGGAGCCGGGGCCAGCACTTTGCCAGAGAGTATGGCCAAATCCTCCCTGAAGTCTCAAAACGATGTCTCTGTGACCTTTCTCTAGGTTTTTTTTTAATATCTAATTTCCGTAAGGCGCTGTGCTTCTTTAATTAATTCATTTTATCTAAAGAGGCTCCGTGGGATTTTAAACTAGATTCTAGTTCAAGCGGGAGAGGGCTGCAAGGGGGATGCGTATTTTTATTAGGGAGATCTGCTTGTACTCCAGGAGTCAGAAAGGGCACGGGGGCACCTCCTTATTCTGCCTGTTTGTTGTCTGATTCACATTTCAGAAAACTGAGCTCATGCTCCTTTTCCTTCTGAATAGAAACAAAAAAACAGGAGGGTTTTAGGCGTGAGAAGAGTAGGAAGTGGGCAGCTCCGTTGCATTCTGATGCTCGGTCACTGTTCCGCGCAGACCTGCACAAGAGCAGAAGACCAGGGGCTGCTGAGGTCTCTTTCTGCCTAGGTCGTTCCAGCTCCTGTCTCTGGCCCCTCCAGAGACCCTGTATTCAGTCTACTGCATGACCCTATAATCTCTGTGCCAATAGGATCTTTGGCAAAATCATGCACAAAATCAAACGCTAAAACTTCATGGGCATTCCATTCCAGAAGCCACTCCCTGTGAAAAGATTCCCTAGGATGAGGGTTTAAATGCTTTCATGATTAGATGTAAATCAGTGAGTCCTCTCAAGAGTATTTGAATGTTAACAGCAATCCTCGTATTAAGATATTCCTGAACCATATACTTATTGAGCAGCTCTTACAGTCCAGACACTGCTCTAAGCTCTGTTCCTGGAGTACCACGTGGGGGCTTCACTGTGCAGTGACATCCCATTTCATTGCAGAGCAAACTCCTGCTCCTCTTGTGGCATCTCAAGCAGCCCTTCACCGCAGGGTCTGGGAGGTGGGAGGGGCCATCTTGGATGGCCAGCCTGTTCGAGCCTTTCCAACATCCAAAAGGAGGACAGTGTTTGAGGCTTCATCTACTGACCTAATTAAACATTCAAAGCCACTTCTCTGAAAGCTTAGCTCACACATCACATCTTCACGGGCAAAATCAAGGTTGCTAATGTTAACTCCGAGTCATGGAAATTTTATTGCTTCCTTTCTAATATTAATAAAACTTAGACTATACAGAAAAACAAAAGCCATTTCACTTTCTCATTGCAATCAACAATTCTGCATGGGGGAGACCGATATTGAACTCAAGAAAAATAATTTGGAGGAAGGAAGTCAACTTATCAGTGCATAACCATCTAAAACCTCTAGCTCAAGAAATCTTTTTTTTTTTCTTTTCTTGCAGAAGGTAAATCCCAAAAGGGTGTAACCTATCCAGCCGTTCTTACATATTCATCATCTAAAAGTGCAGCTGCCAAATCAGGCAAGTGTTCATGTGTGATTTCATCGAAAGCTTCTGAGTTTGTAAATATACAACATTGTGTTTTAGGAGATGGAGCTGAAATTAACATCTTAACTGGACAGGCTCCACTGAGCCGGTATATTTTAACAGAAGCCAGAAATGTGGGCACAGATACCAATGGAATCAGATGGCTGGGCTGAAGAGTGAAGCTTTAGGTTTTGTTTTCTCAACTCTAAGACTGTCTGTGTATCTATCATTTTTATTCCAATGACTGGTGCCTTGAATTTTGTTGCATTATTACTTTGGAAGATGACATGACATTCTGTCTGGAAGTGTGCCCCGGAAAGTTGAAGGGGGAAAAGCTTAGGTGTGAAATAAATGGGAGCAAAGAGGGTGACGTGGTTTACATGATAACAGCAAGTGACTAATCTCAATGGCCTCGGCCACAGATACACAGCCTGTGAGGTTGTGCCAACCTGGCTTCATGCAGTCTTCAAAAGGGGGTACAGGCAGACCTCAAGCCAGGGGGGGACAAATGCCTTTTTCTGTTTTAAAGTAAGAACTATGCATTACTGTCTTTAGACATAAGAAGACTGGGCTGAGAATTGCTTTATAATGGGATTTTGCAATGCTTCCAGAAACTTGATGGAAGAGCTGACTTGGCCATGCATGTAAAATGAACACAGCTTAAGAATAGCAATATAACTTAGCATTTAGGTTATTGTCACTGTATTCTAGATATTGTTCTAAGAGCTCTGCCCAACTATTGTATTTAATCACCCCAGCACTACTTTACAGTTTGAGAAAGATTCAGTAAAGAGAAGTTTAGTAACTTGCCCTTTACCACACCGCTAGCAAGGAGCAGACCTGAGATTCAAACCCAGTTCGGCCGCCTCCCCTCTCCTCACCATTATCTATCTTTTCTGATGCTAATTACAGTGAATGGAAAGTGTCCTGCCTTGAGAGCCTTAGCTTGCAAATAGAAAAAGGTTTTCATTTTTCTCCCAGTTATGGCTCCAATAGATCTTTAATGACTTCTTAATTAGTCCAATATTGTGACTGGGAAGGTTCTATGAAGTGGCCCACCGTGGGAAACTCAGTGACACCTCTTCTCTTTACAACGGAGGTCTGTGGGGCCTTCTGGCACTGGCCCTGGGCTCAACAGAACCCAGAAAACAGAAAGGGCTCCCCGAGCCCCAGTCTCCTGTCATCATCGCTATCCACTATGAAGTTGTCTCTGGGTCAGGCACGGCACTAACTCCAAGGGAAGTCCTTGCTATTCCCATTTTTGAGTGAGGAAGCTGAGCTGGCGAAGGTGTGGCGTCTTTCCTGAGGACACCAGGCTAAGCCCTGCCCTGCTCAGACCCTGTGTGCCCTCCAAGCTGCTGAAACTTGGATGCAACACCACACTGATACAACACCACACTGAAAAGGACATGGGAGTCATGGAGCAGGCTGCACAATGCAGGCTGCTGCCGGAGAGCAAGATCCTGGCCTCTTCATGGATAAAGCAATCATACAGCATCAGTTGAGGGAAAGGAGGACAAAAAGAAAGGGAGGGCTGAGACTAGAAAGTGTGCTCTGTCGACTGTATATCGGGGTGTGAGTCTGCCCTCCAGGTGCTTCTCATCTGCTTGATGACTCCGTATTGTAATGAGATCAAGCCCTAGGTCCCCAGTCAGGGTTTCAGTCTTATCAGTAAGGCGGTCCACTGATCAGCTTGTGGGGTCCCTGGCCATACATCAGACAATGGTCCTCCCCGCCAGCCACCGGTGTTCCAGGTCATTGCTCGTGATGCAGACACCTCCCAGGGTGACCCAGCTTTGTGCTCCTGATTGATTTGAAAGGCACCTTGCAGGTTGGACTCCTATATTCTGACCTTGCTTGGGAATATAGAGCTGTTAAGTAACAAAATGGGCGAACAGACCACTTAGGATTAGGACACCCACAGGGAGGGAAGGAAACCTATTTGGTTTCTATGTCCTCCATAGTAGAGGTCACTTCCAAAATTCTTTGTCTACCCCAGTCACTGTGACCCCACTCCCTACATCCACCCCCAGCTAGCACTTGTTCTGTGTTGCTGACTCATGACCTCAGGGGGCTGTCAGGGACCCAGGACACCTTTTGCCCATTTTGTTGACACATGTATTTAATGCTTGCAAATACTGTAGTGAAATATTAGGTGTGACTAATGTCACTTGTCCCCTCAATCAAGCCATCTCCACTATTGGGGTACGGGGCAACACTAGCCCCCTGTCATTACAAGATACATCGTTGTCAGAATCTGAAAAATCATTTCATCATTCACCCATCCACTCATTCATTCATTCAACAACCATGTATTGAGCACCAGGTTCTGAGCTAAACTAAAAGGGATCCAAAATAAAAGGGTGCTGCCCAGTTTCAAAACAGAGGAACTTCTCGTCAAAGTTATAACCCCACCATGGAGTGAGTTTTTAACCAATTCAAATAAAAAGTTCCAGGGAGAACCATAAAAGGGTGGGCCCCTCATTACTACGCTTTTGCAAATGATAATATTCTTTTCGAAGTTGGAGGAAGCAGAAGAGATGGAGATGAGGACCAGACGTTGCTTAGGCCCCAGCAGTCCCTATAAATGCTTCCTAATTTCTCCAGAAATGCAAGTTAACAGGTAAATCAGGCTAAGATGACCCCCAAAGGCAGAACAACCTTCTTCCATGGGAAATTATCTCACTCAAAAAATAGAAAGCATCTTGATTTGCCGGCCGGGTCCTGCTGGGGACTGGCATTCCTGAGATTTAAATGCTGTCCCTCCGGGCATTTAGCAACCACCAGCAGGCAGCTGTTATTTAGCTACCGTCTCAAGCACTCTGAACTAAATAAAAACATGTGAAGCACTGCTCTGTAGTTCACCCACAAACGTGAAGGCACCTCATGTCCCGACAGCAAGAACATATATCCTGGTTGGAGGCTGTTGAGTGCCAGGAAAACTCACCTGTGGTCCCTCAGACCATTTGCTCCATGCTTCCCAGAAGAAATCAATCCAGCATGTACTGTGACAAGTTCAACTTCCCAAGATCCTCCTGCCCTCACGGCCCATACCCACCAAGGTCACCACTTTCTCCTCTCTTGAGAATAAAACTTCTGCTGCCAGAACTTTAGAGATACCAGGCCACCCTCTGCCAGAAGCCACACTCAGCAATCTTGAGGTCACGGGTGGTGGCCTTCACTCTGCTCTCTGTGCAAAAAAAAGCATGGAATTTGGAATCACACAAATGGGCCCAAAGTCTGGCTCTGCTATTTATTGTCTGTTTGACCTTAGAAATTTTTCCTGGCCTTTTAGAAAGTCTGTTTCTTTTCTTAAAAGTAGGAATGCTTGAACCAACTTGCAGGACTGTGGTTAACACAAATGCTCATTTAAAGGGTGCCGGGTCTGGGCCTCTATGGACACTCCAGGAATAGAATTCCTACCCTCATCTACAATGCCACAGCCAGTAGTGAATTAATGGTGCAGAGCCAGTTCTTCCCCATCACCCTGACCTGCAGGCATTGCTGGCTTCAGTATCTGCTCCAGGTCATCTTGTTACCTGAAGAAAATCTGACAACTGCTGAAAGCACTGTTTTTCACTGGGAACGGAGTCACTATGACCACGGAGTCACTGTGATGGTGACGAATGTCACCTACTGCCACTTATCCAGTGCCGACCATGTGGCAAGCCCTATGTGGGTCCCTTGCAGACACGACCTCCATGACAACCAAGCTGCCAAGTGGGTCTGGCTTCCGCCATTTTATAGCAAAGGGAACCAGACTCAGAAAGCTTTAACAGCCAGGCTGCTAGGAGTTCAGCCCAACCAGACTGTGGTTCTCACGTCAGGGTTTCCAAGGCGCACCCCAAAGCCAGTGCCATCAGAATCTCTATGCGTCAGACCTGGAACCTGCATGTTAACATGTCCCCAGTGATCCTAATGACGAGCCAGGTGGAGGGAGCCCTGGGCCCTCCTGCGGCCGTTGAGAAAGGGCTTGTTTAGAGCTGCTCCTGACCTTGTCCAAAGAGCAATATGCTAAGAGCCTAAGGGGAGTCTTGATATGTTGTCCCTTGAAAAGAGACCAAACGTCCCTGTATCTTAGATTGCTTAAGAAACTGTCTTCCTGTTCTATTTCAAATTGCTCCCCAAAATGCCTGTCCCATAAAGAATGCATGGTCCCCTGCAGACTTTGGGCCTATCAAGGACACTGGGTTCAGTAATGGGAGCAGATGGGCACAAGAATATTTTCTCTGTCTCCTCCTTAAAGACAGTTTTAATCTCTAAAGAGAGCAGACAGAAGCAATAGCTCAGGAAAGACCAGAGAGGCGGCTCTATTGGCTGAATTTATGACAACCTCAGAAGCATCTGTGTTCCACGCAAGTAACACAAATGGCCGCCCTCAGGATATTTAATCTGCTCTGTAACAAATCAATATGAGCAAAGGCAGACGGAGGGGGACTCAGAAGCCTCAGAATGAGCCACCGGTGTCAGCAAGAAGATCATTCAGATTTTCAATATCTATAAAGCTTATGGTGACAGAAATGTTTTTTCTTTGAATTTTCAAGTAAAAGTTTTATATTTTGGGTTAATTGCAGCTTCATTAATCATTTGCAAGTAAAATGTATGGTTATTTATATATTGTCTCCAAATTAACAATCATATTCTAGTTCACAAAATAGAAATGGTTTTTGGCTTTATAAAGTAGGTAGAAGGGGGGCCTGGCTCTCCCTAAAGAGACATTAATGCCTGGTAGCACTTACCAGAGGGTGAGACAGAAGAGTACTTTCAAGAAATGAGAGACTTCCCTAGGACTTGTCATGAAAGCTCAATTCCTTTCAAGTCATGGAAATGTCATAAATCACAAGGTTCAGTTTTGCCCGAGGACAGCGTGAAGACTGGCTGAAGCACCAAGGCTCTGCCAGCTCTTTAGCAATTTGTCTGGCACCGTCTACAGGCAGATTTAAAAGCCACCAACTGCAAGCGCAAAACAGGGAAATGGCCATGGGCGTCCTGCCCTGACGGGCCAAGGCTTGCCACGCACATGGAGTGACCCAGCTCCAGCCAGTTCCCGGGGCTGTTTGCTGACCAGCTCCCACACTTGGCGACAGGGTCAGGGAAGCAAGCGACCAGCACTGGACAGTGGGAGGCAACCCCGCCCCTCGTCTGTCTGCAGCCCTGGTTCTGACAGTTTCCCCAGCAAGTCACCTACTGATCAATCATACTGATTTTGGCGTTTTGGCATCCAGAACTGTAAGAGAATAAATCCCAGCCGTTTTAAGCCACCAGACATGTGGTCAACTGTCCTAGCAGCCCAGGAGACTAATACAGATGTTCAGGGGCAGTGGCACCTGGGGTAGCCCGGCCCCAATCCTCACTCTCCCCCATGGGGGGTCTGGCAGGCCCATGCAACTGGCCACTGTTCTGTCCCAGGACCGGCATGATGTCCACTTAGTGGCCACTCATGTCTCCGCTGGCATGGAACCACAGTTCCCAAGAGAACCAGCAATGACCACTGGGTGTGCCCCCTGTCCTCGCCCTCCAGAGAGGTCCGCAGGCCACTAACACCCTGAGACGCCTTCATCACTGGGGAAGCTGTCTAGCCACCACACGGGACCTGAGAGCCACTCAGGAGGAGATGCTGGATGGCCTCGCCGTCTAATTAGTTCCCTTGCTCCATCTGACAGGTGAGGAAACTGGGGTACTAAGGAATTAGCTGACTAGTCATGAACCAACCGAAGCTAGAACACCTCTAGTAAGTCAGAAGGAAAGCCCCCGGAAGACCGCCTATCTCCAGGCAGTAGATGAATGTGTCTGGCACATTCATCTCTGCTGCTGTTGTTCTGAGCTGTCACTTAAACACAGTGCTGTTATCTGCCCGTGGGTTTGTGGATCGCCTGTTGCACCCTCCAGTTCATATATTTCTTTCGAGCAGGTGGGTCTTATCCTCCACAGTGGCAAGTGCAGGTTTCGTAGAGTCAGTGTTCACTAAACGTTTATTTTATTGGTCCTGAAGAGCCTACTGGCTAATTTGTAAGCACCTGTGTCGTTTCATTTTCTTACAGCTGAGACCACAAAAGCCTATGAGAAATCACCGATTCCGGGGACAACTGCACAGACTGTCACCCTGACACAGGCGCCAGGAGCCATGCCCGCCGAAGCCACCCGCACCACCTTGCCAAGACCCCCCACGTCTGCAGGCTCGACCACCAGTAGCTCCAGACCACAGCCCGCGGGCCACCGGAGCCAGGAGCAGGGTCAGTAGGGGACGGCGTTGCACGTGCTAGGAAAGGGGGAGACTGGGCTTTCAGGGTGAGGCTCTGCCCAGGACCCTGCTGCCCCTCACCCGCCTTCTGGGCTGGAGCAGCTGAGGTCTGCGCAGGCATCTGTGGGGGTGTCCTCCCCAAATCCAGGGGGAACCTGGAGCCCAACAATCCTTCAGGACTGAGCTAAGAGCTAAGCAAACTGTAGAGGGGGCTTAAATCCAGATTCAAAAATCGGACTTTGGGTCTCATCATTGGCAGGCAGGATGTCAACTGAAGCTTTTCCACGGCAATAGCCCCATTTCTCCAAAAGCCAAGTGGAGGAGGTAGTAGGTTTCAGCTGTAATACCATTGGGTTGGGCTGGTTTTGAAGTGACAAACTATATAACCCTGGAGGTTTTCAACGATTTGAAGCAAACACACCAAAAGACCCCAGCTAGCAGGAAATTTTGAATTCAACTTTTGATTGCTTTTGCCTTAGCATTTGTCTCCCAGTCTTAATTCATGGTTTAGGTCTTATCAAAGTCCAGGGCATGCAACTGATCTTGGTATTACATCAAGCGCAACCTTAAGATAACTATGATAACCCAGTGTCCAGTTTCCACAGAGGCTCCGGACGCCATCATACTGCCTATCTCCTTGCTAAAGGTCTTCTGGCAAGGGGGTGGAACATTCCACCGCTGAAGTCCACTGTTGTCTCAACAAGGTTTTTCCTAACTACTTCCCGCCTCAAGTCACTTTTTCCTTCTGAGAGAAAATGCTCAGAACTTGTTCTTTCCAGGCGCACCTCCACCTTCCAAACATTACCACCCAGCACAGCCCTTCTTCTGCACCAGAGCCCACCTTTTGTTTGACACATGGGCACTTTGAATGTGCTGAACACTTTTTGCTCAGCACAAATATTAGCCTACAGAATCCTCCAAACAATTTTACAAAGTAGAGGTAGCACTCTTCATTGAACTAACCCACTGTTCCGATGAGGAAAACGAGGAGGCGGATGATAAAGAAGCCGGCCCAAGCCCCCATCCTGCAAAATAACAGACAAGAGGCCAACCCCGTAGCCTGGCCCTCCAGTGACTCTGCTTGAGAGGCCCCAGAAACTACCCCAGGCAGCGCTCCAGACAAGTCCCCTCTTCAGGGGCCTGATGCCGCTTGACGGGGTGATGTGGCAAGACAGAGAGTCTCCGACACAACCAGCTCCGGCTGCGATTAACAATGAGTTAACAGGACGTATACGACCCGTACCTTTCTGTGCGGGCCCACTGCGCGCATTATTGGGTTTAATCTTCCCTGCAGCTTTATGACACAGGGACTATTATTATTCCAGTCAATCATGAACTCATGGAAGGAGCTGGGCAATAAAGTCTCCAATGCCATAAAAATAATTTCAAAGTAGATTAGATAACCCCATCACCACAACCTCCCACCCTTTTTAACTGAGATTAACAGGGCCACGGGCACACACCAGCTGACAGCAGACGAGAATCAGGAAGTTACGCTGGGTGCATGACCCACAACAGTGGCCTCCTTGTCCTCCCGTCAGGCCTTGTTCTTTCAGGGATTTTTGAGCAGCTGAGTGTGCTGCTTGCCTCTGATGTCTCCGTAGAGCGCTTCAATTTTTACATAACACATAAAATGAAACATGTGGCACATTCCCTGGGCTACCTGGAAGCTTGGAAATCCTGTTAAAAGTTGGGCCTATGTTTGTGGAAAACCTCAAGCAAGTAGTGGCTTCCAACCTGGCAAGGCTTCGTTATTCCTGGCCGGGGGCCGAGGGCATGGACAGCAGCCTCGTGGCCCCTCGGTGCGGCTTCTTCATCCGTGTCCAGCACCCCACAGAACCCTGACCCTCAGAACCCTGGACAGACCCCCAGAGGAGTCTCCATGCCGTCTGTCCTGGCAAAGCTAGACAGCAGCAGAGAGGGGGTGAGAAGAGAGGCAGGTCGGCAGGACTTTTAAAACTGGTGTTGCCTACCCAAGGGGTTCTCCGTAGGAATGAAAACAAGTACAAATTGATGCCTGATGTCCATGTCGTCTTTTGAGAACAGCTTTACTGGCAGTCTTTTCTCACAGTGTACAATTTACCCATTTAAAGTGCACAATCCAGTGGTTCCTGGTTTATTCACAGAGGTGCACAACTGTTGCCACAGTCAATTCTAGAACATTTTCATGACCCCAAAAAGAAACCACATACCATTTAACAGTTATTCATACTGTCTCCTATCTCCCCTACCCCAGTCCATAAGTATTTCTTTGACAGCTTAGTCCAACTGTATTAAATAATACTTAGTATACAGACGATACCCTTATTTCATAGGATGAGTGGCCAAATATAAGAGAGTGACTCTCCTACCCGACAGACAAGGGGGTTGCCACTATTGCATTGATTACATTTTTATTCTTCTAGATGTGACTATAGTCAAAAGACTCGAGTGTGGTTGTCGAAAGGACCTTCCAGCAAAAATCTGATTTGTTTACATATTCAGTAATTATCCAGCTCGAGCATCTGTTCTGCACTAGAAACTGTGCTAGGATTTGGGGGCTACCTCAGTGAACATCCCACAAAGACCCCTGGGACAGGCCCCTTCAATTAGGGCAAAGGTAAAGAGCTACCTCTTATACTGAAGGAACTTGGAAGGAGTGGGGTAGGAACTAGCAACTTCACAGCAGAAGACAGGCCGTCCCAGCCCATGAAGAGGGGCAGAAGCAGGTGGGAGGAAGATGGTGCTAGACACCAAGGCCACATCACAGCCCCTTAATCAACCTTAACTATGAACGTGCAAACCTAAGGAGACGGAGGGAAGCTAGTCCAGGCTAGGGAGTAAGTAAAAGCCAGCCAGTCCCTGGAGCACTAGAGACCTCTCACTGGGGCCCAAGGACTGTCTGTAATGGCACCCACAGGAGCCGGGGGCATAGCGTTGCATCAGGGCCAGAAAGGGTAGCCTGGAGAACCAGATCCATAGAAAACCCTGAGGAAAGAGTCCTGGAAAAATCCAGGCCCCGTTGCAGAAGCAGCTGAAGCTACCGCAGGCTCAAAAGGTGGAGTGGCTCTGCACAGCACTATTTTCCCTGCCAGGTGCATTTCAACACTTGCCATGGCTGCCGCAGCTGATCTAGCACATTAAATGTGTCCACAAGGAAGCACAGACCACGCAGGGGCGCAGAGTGCCGCCTAGCGGCAAGGCTGGCGATGGCAGCCCCCAGTCTCCTTGCCATGCCTCACCCTCTGACCCCCCAGCTAAAGCAGAATTATGGGGGGCAACTTGGGACAGGAGAAAGACCACTCTCTAACTGTCCATCCCATCCATATGTAGTGTCCCTTCTCACCAACTTTCTCTGAAAGTTTATCTTCCTTAAAGTGTCTGGAAAATGTTTCTTAAAAATCAGTCTTATAAAAAGAGGAAATGCAGATGGCCAACAAGCATATGAAAAAATGTTCAACATCACTTGTAATAAGGGAGATGCAAATTAAAACCACAATGAGATACCACCTCACCCCAGTGAGAATGGCACATCTTCAAACAACTAGCAACAACAAATGTTGGCGAGGATGTGGAGAGAAAGGAACTCTCCTGCATTGCTGGTGGGATTGCAAACTAGTACAACCACTATGGAAAACTGTTTGGAGGTTCCTCAAACTGCTAACATGAAGCTTCCCTACGACCCAGCAATCCCACTCTTAGGTATCTACCCAAAAGACACAAAAACACTGATTTAAAAAGACACCTGCACCCCCATGGTTATTGCTGCTTTATTTACAATTGGAAAGACATGGAAACAGCCCAAATGCCCAAAAATGGATGACTGTATTAAAAAGATATGGTACATACACACAATGGAATATTACTCAGCAACCAAAAAAAAAAGAAACAGAGATCTTTTGCAGCAACATGAATGGACCTGGAAAAGATCATGCTTAGTGAAATAAGCCAGAAAGAAAAGGAAAAATACTGCATGGTTTCTCTCATAGCAGGAATATAACAGAACAGGTGAGAAAATAATGATAGTGATGAACAGCCATATACCAGAGACATTTTGTGGGGGTGGAGTGGGGAATGGGATCAAAAATAATGGGGGGAGGGAAGTGCACTGGACTATGGTGATGGCACATGGGTAATTTGGTGATGGGAAACCCAAGGAGATTTGTGCATGGAAAAATACACAAAAAAAATAAACTATTATAAAAAAAATTCAATCTTATAGATAGTAAGAAAAAGACAGATTCCCAAAGACAATGAGGAACAATGATGGCCATTGTCACACTTTAATTAGTTAAATTTAGTATTTTGGCCAAAGCTATCAGACAAAAACAGGAAATCAGCAACTCCAAGGCAAAAGAGAAGTGAAATGGTCTCTGTTCACAGACAATATGTAATTATAGAGAGATGCCATTCAAGGTTACAAGAAACAATAACTAATACTGCACAGTGACAACTTGCAAAGTTAACATGTAGAAATCCATAGATTTTTCTTCTAGAAACAACTAAAGGAAAAATGGGTGAAGGTCATGTCAGACAAGCCACAGTGAAGAATCATAAAGGGTCATTCTGCTCCCCACTGTCTCTGGTGAGTCCTCTCACCACCTCTGCACCTCTGGCTTGAACCCCATTTCTATTTGTTTAAATAAATAAATATTTAGAAAGAAAAAAAAAAGAACTATAAAGGGTCCATACGTAGAACAAAAGATGTCCACCCTCACCAGGAATCAAATAAATGCAAACAATCAACACAATGTCATTTTCACCAATTCACATTGGAAATTGATGACAAGTTTTGAAAAGACTGTGAAAAAAGTACCCAGAATTTACGCTTAGAGGAATATGTCCTGTGAGGGGAAATAAGGCTGGGCCTGGATGTTGTTCATAATAGAAAAATAAATGGGGGCAATGTAATTGGCTGTCATCAGAATGGAGCAAGAAGTTACTATGCAGCCACTAAGATGTTGACGATTACCTGAACTGGCTGCCAGGAGAGCGGCCTGTGACACGCTGTTACTGTTACGTCAGAGGCTGTGGGAGCAACTGTGTGTGGTGTGTGAGAACATGTACATAGTAAAGGAAAGCAACACTATAGCAAAACTGTATGCCAGTATCTGCAGGACAGTGGGGCCCTAGATAATTCCTTGTTAGCTACAGTGTATATATATATATATTTTTTAATATTTATTTATTTATGCATACAGAACTGGGGTGCAGGCCAGAGATGCGGAGGGTGAGAGGCTTCACCAGAGACAGAGTGGGGAGCAGAACAGGCAGATCAATGAAATGCATTGCTGAGGAGAGCAGCGGGCGGGTCAGGAGAGGTCTGCTGTGCCATGTGGGTCACCTCGGGGGCAGGCGGGGATCAAACTCATGCCAAAGTGACTTTAGCTTCTTAGCACTGTGCTTTAACCTGCTGCGTCACCAGGGAGGGGCCAGCTACAGTATATATTTTAACAGTGAGAGTGTGTGAGCTGTAAGTAGAGAGAAAGCGCTTTGATTTTTGTGTTCAAGTAATTGGAACAAAGACAAAGAAGTGAAAAGTTGACTGTGGAGGGATTTGGTTGTAAGAGAAAACTAGTATTTTTGAGGAACTGATATTTTTCCATATCTTTTCTCTCTTCTGTCCATGGAACTTGGGTTGGTTTTTTTTGTTTGTTTGTTTGTTTTTTCCTTAACTTCTTTTCCCCTGGACCTCTTTCCCCAAAAAGGAACTTTGCTTCTCTCTTTACAGATTCCCCCACCTCCATCCTCCCTTTCAAAACCTTGCTTCAGAGAAACTGACCAATACATAATGGATGCTATAGTGTATTTGATTCTTTCATAAAGTAATTAAGGCTAATCCATTGTGTATCTTCAAAAGTGACTAAAAGCTTATGCTACTTGCAACAATGCCGTGTTAATGCAGTTTAAGCAAATTGGTAAATGTTAAGTGATATTTCTATTGAAGGATTACTTCAACCTCTAGGAGTGGCAGAGCTAAGGAGAATTATTGTAAGAATAATGGAATGTAAAGAAATATGGCTCTTTAGTAAAAGGCATTTTCTTTGACACTTGGAAAATACAAAGGCTATTACCTGGAATTTTCAGTTCATGTTTTGAGTTCAATCCTTCCCCCCCCCCCCCATTTCAATGTCTTTTTCTGGGCAGGTTCAGACTATCCAAGGACAAAGCTTTACCTTGGTTCTGACTTTGGTAATATCTTGTTAGGTTAGCATGTGGAAAAAATGAGGACAGTTAGATTAACATGCATGCTCTGACCAGCCTGATGTTTTTCCAGATCTCTGGCCCACCACCACCTACCCAGGCCTCCAGAACAAGCCCCGCACCAGCCCAGGTAAGCAACTGAACTCACCTTGCCATCTGCTGATGAAAGTTAAGCTTGTTTACATAGGGTTGGTCATTCCAAATCCTTGCCATTTGATTTAGAGATGGACAGAGAAGATTAAACCAGTTATGCCAATGCAAGAAACTGCTAAAAGCCCCAATTGGTAAGGAACCTAGTAAGAAAGATTCCAGAAGCCATTAACAAAGCAAAGCTTCACCCACTGCCAGGCCTTTGAGACAATTTTAGAGAGATTGTGCTAGAAATTCTAAGAATTTAGTAATGAGGCTCTTATAAACCTGAAAATGAATATTCTCTGGGGTTTAAGAATCTAGGGTAAAAGAAAGAGAGGAATTTTTTATCATTCCTAGGAAAGCGCAGAGCTGACTTCCACTCAGATACTTCAGGGACATAGAGGATAAAATATATTCTCTCTCTCAGGCCTCCCTGGTGGCGCCAGGGGTTAAATCTCAGCACTATGACGCTATCTGCAGCCACTGCAGCATGGGTTCGATCCCCAGCCAGGGAGGAGACCCATATGGCACAGCAAACCTCTCCTGACCCGCCTGCTGCTCCCCTCAGCAGTGGACTTCCTCGATCTGCCTGTTCTGCTCTCCGCTCTGTCTCTGGTGAATCCTCTCACCCCTCTACCTCTGCCTGTACCCCAGTTCTTGTGTGCATAAATAAATAAAACTACAAGGAAGTACATTCTCTCCCCTCCAGAAATTCTCCTCTGGATTAAGATACTCCTTGGCTCCCTTTTCTTTAATTCTGTGTGCCGCCCTGAAAGGTTTTTGCCCCCAAACTGGAATAATAGCACAGTGAGGCCAGTTTTGCTTTTGAGATGCTGTTGAGAGACTTGAAGAGATTAGAAAGAAAAATTGAGTAGAGTTAAAAGCTGTCGACAAACACTATACAGGGTCTTGTCCAGGAGCTGAGAGCAGGACTTGAAGGACACAGTTCTCTCTGCAGGTGTGGGGGGGGGTGGTCTAGCATGGGCTCCTGGCCCCCAGGAGGTGAGTTCAGACCTTTCCCTTGCTAGGGGAGACCTATTTGCCCTCCACATATTAGGAGAGTCCTGGAGATTATAGTTTCTGTTTGCTTTGATACTGGGGCACAGCAGGACTCGTGGAGGGGTCCCTGACAGGGCTAGCATCGTCCATGAACTTCACAGTTGCACCTTCGCCAAAGTACACACTGTTGTCTGAGACAAAGAGCTTAGCAATCAGGTCTCTGGGCAGGACGAGGGTTCTACGGCCTGTGAGACTGTTCAGCAGGGGCCCTCCCTCCCTTAGTCCCCTGGGCCAGGACTTTGGCCTCTTCTGCTGACCCCCATAGTAGAGGCAGCCCCAGAGAGCTTGGCTCCCATGTCCCCTTTTCTCCCCGACGTTCATCCCTGGGGCTCACGGTCCTGTGGGCTCTGCGGGGTGGTCGCTGCTAGGCAAGCTGAATTGATTATGAATGCAGCCATCATCGTGGGTAAAGTGGGTGTGATGTGCTAGGCAGGGTTCTCCTGGGGAGCAGAACCAATGGAATATTCACAGAGAAATGCAATTTAATGAACTGAATTAGGCAATTATGGAAGCTCAAAGTCTGCAGACCAGGCTGGAAGGCAGGGAGCCTAAAAGGCACGACCTCCAGTATGTGACCTCTTTTCTAGGGTAAACCTCTCCAGGGCCCCCCTCTCCAGGGTCTTTTTGGGACTTGGAGGGACACCCTCTAGAGACAGTGAGGCCTGCTGAGGACGTGGAACTGGGTGGAGCGGAGTGCCACAGCGCAGTGGGCCAGGAGATGGCCTTGCTCATCAGAAATACGCTGCCTCTGAGCTCCATCGGGGAAGCGCTGTCTGTCCATAAGCTCATCTTCTCCTGGACCAGCAAAACGCAAGTCCCGGGATCTTTTTCTCTCATACTTCTACCCAAGCAGCTCGCTGCAACACTGTCTTTGTGCAACTATGTCTAAGCCCAGCTTTGACTATCACACCTCTGTTGAATTCCCCCTAAATCTGTTGCAGTCTTCCTGAATTTATATTCTTTCTCTTTTTTTTTATTTTACTTTATATATTTTACATCATTCTTCTGTTTTGTAATCAGGGAAATGCCAATCAAAACATTTCACCAGTGAGAATGGCACATGTTATCCTTTCTTTAATGAATTAACTGTCCTTCCAACTTCTTTCTTCCACAAAAGTGATTAAGAAGCTACCTAGCTCCATTCTAGTGACTGATAAGAGCCTCATGTGGACCCAAGTCTCATGAGCCCTACTAGAACCTCACCTGCGCTCAGGGCAACACAGAACAGACACGAGCAGCAAACGGACACAAGAGTGCGTCAGGCTCTCTCTTTCTTTCTTATTTTTTTAAAGATTTGTTTATTTATGCACACAGAACTGGGGTACTGGCCAGAGGCTCAGGGGTAGTGAGAGGATTCACCAGAGACAGAGCGGAGAACAGAACAGACAGAGTACACTGGTCAACAAAGTCCACTGCTGAGGGGAGCAGCGGGCGGGTCAGAGAGGTCTCCTGCGCCAGGTGGGTCACCTCCGGGGCAGGCGGGGATCGAACTCAATCTGAAGTGGCCTTAACCTCTCAGTGTTGTGCTTTAACCCACTGTGCCCCCAGGGAGGGCCCAGGCCCTCTATTTCATCCTCTCCTCCCTAGGACACCCACGAATGATCGCTGCTTCCCTTCCCATGATGCCCTCTGCCCTGGACATAGGCCCACGTTTCCCACAGCAGGAAAACTAGTCTTTAATTTTTTAAAATGTTATTTGCTGGGCACATTGTATGTCAGACACTGCTGTGTGCTAGACGAATCAGATACTTCTAGATTCTAGAATGATATGACGAGAACTTCTGCCTGCAGCGGCCCACCATTTACCTCTCCAGAGGCATCAGCAATGCACTGACCCCCTCTGCTGTCAGATCCCCCACCACCACGCATCCCACCTGGGCCAGAACAGGAGCTACCGAGCTGGCCTTGCAGCCACTGGGGTGCTCCTAGAGGTGATGTAAGTTAGAACTCAGTGAACTGGGGCCTCCCTGGTAGCACAGAGGATAAAGACACAGTGCTATCAAGCTACTGCTAGCCACTACAGCACGAGTTCAATCCCTGGCCAGGGAGGTGACCCAAAAGGCACAGCAGACCTCTCGCTGCTCCCCTCAGCAGTGTACTTCATTGATCTGCCTGTTCTGCTCCCCACTCTGTCTCTGGTGAACCCTCTCACCCTTGTACCTCTGGCCTGCACCTCAGTTCTTGTATGCATAAATAAATAAATCTTTGAAAAAAAGAATTCAATGACTTTCCCTCAGAAGCAGCCTTATGCTGTCTGGTGTCACGGGACCATGAGCTTTATTGAGCAAATAAGCTTCTTTGACTTGGTAACCTAGTGGTGGAGTTGGTGTTTCCATGAGAAAAGGCTGCCGCACCACTCAGTGCGCAGCCACTGTAAGCCCGGGACCACCTTCCGTGCCTCGCTGTGTGATGGCTCAGGCCCAAGACCTCAGCTTGCCCCATCCCCCTTGGACAGCTGCATGTGACGGCTGCAGGCAAGGGGCCTCCGCACCGCTGCAGCAGCTCCCCAGGGCTTCCTGAGTCACGAGAGCCAGAGGAAGTTGTCCAGGGAAGTGTGCCGCCCTGGGGCCCAAGGCCGTGGAGAGGAGGAGACTCCCTTAGGTCTGGAGGCCTCTCCCACTGCCATCTCCTCCTAAAAAGTGCACCGCAGGGCATCACCAGGGAGAAACCAGGGCGCTAAGAGGCCGCGTGTGCCCCCACCCCATAAAACACCGGAGTCCTGAGAACCACGTGTAGCTCCCACTTACACCCTACACTGGTGACATCCAGATGTGTAAGGGACAGAGACGCAGTAGCCAGTGAAGGGATCACCACCAAGTCTCAGGGCAAGATGGTCTGGGGCTCAAGGTTAGTGTGAGCTAGAGGACAGTGCCAGGCTTAACTCTTCGGTCACTTAACAGAGTTCCCTGAGATACTGAAGTGACAATGACTCCTCATGGGCGACACACAGATGGTAGATAAGGGCAGACTTGCACTTGGATTTCAAGCTCAACGCTGAAGGCATCAGTTTTCACACATCTGTGAAATGGGATCATAGTTGTACCTAGTTTCAGGCTTCTGAATTTTTATCTTGAAAACATTCAGAATCAATGTTTCTCTTTGTCACTGACACAATCTCATAGATACATGATCAAGCAAAGATGATCACAAAAATAATTCCCTGATCACATCATGGAGGAATGGAAAGGTCTGGGGAGCACCTTCTCCCTAAGAACAGTTATAAAGCAGTACTATTTGTGGAAAGGAAGAGCGCATGTCCCTGACAGAGGCCCAGCACTTTCCCAGGAAGGACTTGCACTAATTTTGGTGGTTTGCTACAGCGGAGGAGTGGGAAAGGTACATGGAAGCTTGGCCAGGAAAACAGATAACTCAGCTGGCAAAGCAGGCGGGGGGTGGGTCATCCACAGCCCTGAGCGGGCTTGCAGGGTGCAGCATTTCCCCAGAGAGGATTCTCAGACAGGGAGTGACGTCAAATGTTTGGACCTGGATCTGGCCCTGGTCACTGCGAGGTCCGAGGCCCAAACTGACCGGTAAGCTTCCCAGGAACGCTCACTCTCCTTGAGCTTGGAGAACAAAGAATCCTTAGACAGAGCCTTGTGGAACTTGGTGGCGAGCCCAACAGCAGGGAGAACTACTGAGAGAGGGTTCACCACTCCCTTGGAAAGAATCAAGCAAGAACACAAACACACAGACACGAAGAAATGGAAAGACAGCCTGTGTTATTTGCTGCAAGAAAAAACATCATTAAAATGCCATATTACCTAAATCATCTTATCCATGAAATACCTATCAATTTTCCATGACTTTTTTTTTAAAGATTTATTTATTTATTCATACAGAACTGGGGTACAAGGCAGAGGTGCAGAGGCAGTGAGAGGATTCACCAGAGACAGAGCGGGGAGCAGAACAGGCAGATCAACGAAGTGCACTGCTGAGGGG